GCCCCCCAAACTCACGGTGCCATCCCTGCTTCCTTCCTCCTCCTGAAAAGGCCGCCCAGACTCCCCACTCAGACTGCAGGGTTCCCTCAAGCCCCCACCTCCCACCCCTGCCAAACCTCTTAGTTTTCTTTCCTTGTATTCTTGCTAATCACTTCATTTGGTGTGGCATTTTTGACACAAATTAGAGGATGGATGTCATGGCAAGGCTTTCAGAGAAAATCTGAAAGTACTGAGGAACGCCATAGAAACGAAAGATAACCACGAAAAATAAGACATCAGGGCAAAGTTTAGAAGGACGGGGCATGCTCAGCCTTGAGTGAATGTCACCATGGGGAGCCGCGGTGACAGTTCTCTAACACATAAGGAATGCACGTAAGAGAAAGGGACCNCATCAGCAAGAGCAGAATGAACAGAGACATCTCAGGTTTCAGCCGGGAAAACATATGTCACATGTTTGAGCTGTAGGAGAGGAGGGGCTGCCAAGAGGACTGGTGACACCATCCTCGCCAGAGACGCTCACGATGAGATCACAGCGGCCTGGGGCGCTGTCCAGCAGGGCCAACGTCAGCCGTGCCCGGACCATGCCAGGGTGAGCCTTGCCAGGCTCTGTGTGGAGCCTCCCATCGCCTGGCAATCCCATCGCCTGGAATGGTCCAGATGGACAGGGCTGGTGGCAATTCCAGATTACCATGGTTTACTTCAGATACCCAGAAATCCAAGGAACACTGTGCACCTCTGTAAAACATTTCAGATCACCTTGTTACCCGGTGGCCAGGATTCCAGGCATTTGTTTCCTGGAAAGCCCATTCATTCCTTTCCTACAGCCAGCTCCTGTCTGCCCAGTAACAGCCGCAGCAGCCGCAGCCATCCCATCAGTAATAGCTCTGAGAGACAGAGCATTCGCCATGTGGCAGCGCTGTATACACATCCCTTCACTCATGCCTCACCATAATCATAAGACCCATTTTACAGATGAGCAAGCTGAGGCTTAGAGAGGGCTACTGACTTGCCACCACTGGTCATGTCTGGGCCCAGCGTTCTGTGACGTCAGAACCCACGATCATGAGCATGCCTCTACATAGCCAAGAACACAGTATGCATCTCAGACGCCCAATAAGGAACTGATCCAAATGGGGCCCCAAGACCCTCAGAGGTCAGGGGCGCTGGCCGTTTGATAATGTTCACTTGAATGGAGAATGGGCACCTTTGAAGACTCACTCACTGTCTCCTCTCCCCAAGCCACCACCCCCACACAGTTCAAGATCTGTGATATTTAAACCAAATCTCTCCTAGAAGGCCCCCTCTCCACCCCGTCTGCCAGACCCCACACCTGGCCCCACACGACTCCACCAGGGACCTCAGTGAACTGACAGGGCTGCTGGTGGTGTGGACTCTTTCACACACTGTTACCGACCCCAAGCTGGTGAGCACAGGGTTCCCGGCAGCCTTCATAGCCATAGCCAGCCCGTGTGGTTTAAAAGCACCCACCCTCCCCTCAGAGGGTGCTTAGAGGGGATATCGTGCAGAGGCTGCTATTACAGCTTCAGATAACTCTGGGTCAGATTTTTATCCTTCTTCCCTTCCAAGCAATTCTAGGCTCATCGGGCTTCTGTCCTTCTGCCTCTTTCTGAGGTCGTGAAGACGGCTGACACGGTTTCCATGACAGACTTGAAGAGCCAGTTTCCCAGCGCTTTGCTGCTGTCTGTGCCAACGCCTTCATCACAAGGCTCTCTGGGGCCTCACTTGTCAGAGTTCCAGCTGAGGGACTAGCAGAGCCACCCGACATGGGACTTCAGAACCAACTGCACACCCACCTCGCCCCACTGAAAGAGCCACCTAAGAACAAGCGCAGGAACTGGGGCCTGTGGGTCACGGGCTCTGTACAAGCCCATATGCTGACGGTGTCACAGCTGTCCCCACTCACAGGAAAGCTTGTGGGGAGGCTCAGGGCAGGGCAGGCGGCCTGGGAAGTGTAGCAAGCAGGATTTTTGTACTGTTCCGACGACTGCAGGCTGATGTCAGGCCTGGAGTCAGGTGAATTNTACTGACTTGCAACCACTGGTCATGTCTGGGCCCAGCGTTCTGTGACGTCAGAACCCACGACCATGAGCATGCCTCTACATAGCCAAGAACACAGTATGCATCTCAGACGCCCAATAAGGAACTGATCCAAATGGGGCCCCCAAGACCCTCAGAGGTCAGGGGCGCTGGCCCTTTGATAATGTTCACTTGAATGGAGAATGGGCACCTTTGAAGACTCATTCACTGTCTCCTCTCCCCAAGCCACCACCCCCACACTGTTCCAGATCTGTGATATTTAAACCAAGTCTCTCCTAGAAGGCCCCCTCTCCACCCCGTCTGCCAGACCCCACACCTGGCCCCACACGACTCCACCAGGGACCTCAGTGAACTGACAGGGCTGCTGGTGGTGCAGACTCCTTCACACACTGTCACCGACCCCAAGCTGGTGAGCACAGGGTTCCCGGCAGCCTTCATAGCCATAGCCAGCCCGTGTGGTTTAAAAGCACCCACCCTCCCCTCAGAGGGTGCTTAGAGGGGATATCGTGCAGAGGCTGCTATTACAGCTTCAGATAACTCTGGGTCAGATTTTTATCCCTCTTCCCTTCCAAGCAATTCTAGGCTCATCGGGCTTCTGTCCTTCTGCCTCTTTCTGAGGTCGTGAAGACGGCTGACACGGTTTCCATGACAGACTTGAAGAGCCAGTTTCCCGGCGCTTTGCTGCTGTCTGTGCCAACGCCTTCATCACAAGGCTCTCTGGGGCCTCACTTGTCAGAGGTCCAGCTGAGGGACTAGCAGAGCCACCCGACATGGGACTTCAGAACCAACCGCACACCCACCTTGCCCGACTGAAAGAGCCACCCAAGAACAAGCGCAGGAACTGGGGCCTGTGGGTCACGGGCTCTGTACAAGCACATATGCTGATGGTGTCACAGCTGTCCCCACTCACAGGAAAGCTTGTGGGGAGGCTCAGGGCAGGGCAGGCGGCCTGGGAAGTGTAGCAAGCAGGATTTTTGTACTGTTCTGACGACTGCAGGCTGATGTCAGGCCTGGACTCAGGTGAATAAAATTTATTCCTTCTTGATGGAAAAGTTGGACTCAAGCCACAAATCGATATTCCTGGGGAGTCTTAATTTTTCTTCCAGCTTCACCAAGCTCAGTGGAGCTTAAAGCAGGCTTTTTTCTCATGCAAAGAGACAAGAGGATGCAGAGAGCAAAACAGTGTGGAGCCCTGGGGCGGGAAGGAGGCCCTTTCAGACTTTTGCTCTCCCAGCTGCCTTTTCCAGACCCGTATATTGGCAGGGTGGGGGGAGGAGGGAGAACCCAAAGATGGCTTCTGGATGTCTGGCCTCATGGACCCCAACCTGTGATGGTGAATGTCAGGGCCCAAACAGTGAGGATCAACACTCCCCGATAAACTCAGCCAAGACATGCCAACCCTCACCCACGAGTCAGCTCTCAGTTGCTTTTCCAGCAGATGGGTTTGTTCTCCCTTTTGTGGCTTGTTGCCACAGTGCCCACGTTCCACCCACCGTGATTGGCGCACACATCTAGGATGCAGACGGATGGGATTCTGTCTTAAGAAGGGTGCAGAAGTGCTCCCTGTGTATGGCCAATAGGTACTCCCTAGCATCTAACCCTGGCCACATTACACCAATCATGGCTTGAGGAGCTCAGCTCCTTGAAATTGAGACCCATCCCTGGATCATGTAGAGAATAAACAGCGAGGTACATTAACAACAGAGTCAGCTACCTTCATGGCGCCCATAGCTTGGAAAGTCACAGCTGATCTTAAAGGGGTCAGCGCAGCCAGCATCGCATTGAATCTTACACTCTTGTTCTTAATAGGTGAATGGTATTGTCCGTCGGGACTCATGGAACCAAACCTGTGGTGGGGGAGGATGGAAAGAGAGGTGGGGTTAACAAAGAGGAGGACATGGCACCACTAGACGTGAAGTCAGGAGGCTCCCACGGGCACACCCAGGGAAGCGCACAGTTTCCCGCATCCTGGAACCTCCCCCGTGTGACAGAGAGCAGAGTAAGGGCTGGGGAGTGCCTCCCTAAGGATTCTGAGAAAGGTTCGACTCATGGGAGGTAAGAGCAGGTTTCCTGTCACTATCAACCTGAGGCTCAGCACGAGAGGGAGGCGGGAGGACCGACACCATTAAACCAGTACCAGAGCCTGACTGTGCAAACCGCACACTGGCACACTTTTTAAAAATTAATATACAGTTCACATACCATAAAATTCACCCCCTTAAAATGTGCAGTTCAATGGGTTTTAGTATGTTCACAAAGTTGTGCAACCATCACCACTATCTGATTCCAAAACATTGCATCACCCCAGAAAGAAACCTGTACCTTTAGCAGTCACTCCCCATGCCCGACACCCTCC